AGACAATTGCAGTTGTTAACCCTTCAAAGTTTCGTATTTCCAGCAGTAATGTACGAAGTTTCAAGACTCTCCTACAGATGGCAGTTCCTTTACGAAATGGCAACTGTAGACTGCATATATTAAAACCAGAGAGCTCCTAATTGAGTTCCTCGTTGCAGAGAGGGAAACTGTTGTGAAAATCCACAAACCGTTTTTTGCAGTGGATGGCACTTCTGCTGACGTCAGGAGTACCGTTGGGCGTTTTAAATTTTTAAGGTCGCATCAAGCTAGGTCATTAGCGGTCACTATAGATTATCGATATGGTTAACAGTATGACGTGATATGGTGATGGTGAGGAGCGAAAGGGCGAACAGAAATACAACCATGTTCGAGTCGGGTCTTGAACCCGCCATCTTTCAGTCTGAGATCGCTACGGCACTACTGCCTTAACGATCTCGGACATCCAGACGACTTCTGTTCGATGTTTGTGTAAACGATATAGAGCTTCCGAAAGTGAATAATGCTCTCCATGATTTCCTGCGCTCCGGGTATCCCGCCACAGGGACGAGTCCTGACATTTTGATCAATATCTTTTGGAATATTGATGATGGCATTCTCTCCTGATCATTCCTTATATCAACACTCTGATGCTCTAAAGAAGAAAGTTCAATCTCAGAAGAATTGTACATAAAGCTTGCTCTTGCACGATAACGCATGCAAACACAAAAGTGTCGCAACAAGAGAAGGATTGCCCGGATTTAGCCCTCTTAAATTTCCATCTCTTTGAGCTACTAAAAATGCCACTGTAATCTCGGAGGAAAAATTGGAAATGACTCGAAGTGAAGGAACGGCTACGCCGTGAGGAAAAAATCTTGGTACCAGCAAGGCTTGTTCGCTCTTGTTTCACGCTGGCGTAAGGCTGCACAAGTCGATGCAAATTATGTGGAAAAATATAGCATGTGTAATAACCATGCATTGAGATTGTGTGCAAATTACAGGTCCTTCCAATAAACATTTTTGGAGAGATGTGGGGCATTACTTTTTGACCGACCGTCGTACCTAGACACATCATCAAGATCAAGATCGTTCTTTTTCTAAGGTCCAAATAAAATTAGAATATAGTTGACATTTCGCGGTCACGTCAGGACATCAGCACCATTATCTAGGGAACAGCAGATCAGAAGCTTTGGCATTTCCACATTGTTGTCACCTAAAATTGGGGAAAATGTTACGGGGAAACAAATGTTATAAATGTTACAATAAAACTTGCTGGAGTTACTCAATATTCCTTTCTCCTGTTTCACTAGTTAGTGTTGAGAGCACGTGGTAGAGCGCGGCAGTATGCGGCAATGCCGCCCCCTCCACACATAAATATCAACGTTCTAATTTTATTCGAACTATATCTAGCACAAATTTTAGTTTGCCGTAGATTTTCCACATAAGGACACTGAAAAAAAATTTACGAATCCAAGCCTTCAAGGGGGTCTAGCCGGAAGGGCAGTTGAAGCAACATAAGTTCTTTTGATTGTTGTAATTTGTACAAAACGCACACAAAATTTCAGACATAAAAACACCAAAAAACTAATTTTACCTTTCAAGATTTGGTATCCCTAGTCCTAAAATGAGCCACTGACAGACCAAAGGCATTAATTTTAGTTTAGGCCACAGATTTCGTGTACGAATAATGAAACATGGCTTAATGACTGACGTTTTTGGACGGGTCTAGGACTACATGGAGTGTAGTTCACCTCACATATACACGCATACACAAACACTCCACATGCGCGCGCTTACACATGCACTACACTACCACATAGGTTGCAAGACAAGACAGGAGCTTTGAGCTTGTCCAAGCCTTGCCGCTGCCCCACTGAGGGAGATACTTGAAGAGAGAAACACCGAGATCCGACATGTAGGTCGGCGACGGATCTCAGTTTCTAGCCGAGAAGGAACACTACTACGTTCTGGGATATAGCATTCAATACACTCGGGAATAATGACCATATTGGTTGCCGAGCCCGGAAAAACCAAATAATCAGATAATTGACATTTCCGGTAGAATTTCCTAATTATTAGAAATAATGTAAAAATACATAATTTAACATCTTGGAGAAACACAATGCTAACTTGCAATTTACAAAAAATCTATTATTTTGTGGTTGACTATGCTATTTCCATGTGTTCATTACTTACCATTAAGACAGTAGAAAAAGCGCAATATACTTTATTAAAATTTGGAGAATTACCATGATTACAGATAAAATAGTAGGAAGATAATAACAACCATCGAAGCAGCCATCAATTACATGGGTGAAAATCAGAACGGTATATGTGGCATTTTATAAATTCTGAGAAATCTGTTTATTTAAGTCAATATAACTGTAAAGTCGTGGTGCTTTGCTCCAATATTAAAGCCATGACATTTGAATTGTTCATTAAAACTACGAAAATACATTGCCACTGGCACATCGTCAAAAAAATAAACACTTTTTTTTGAATTTATAAAATGTCATTTATATTGTTCTGGTTTTCACTCATCCAAATGGTAAAGTCAATTGAAATTTATTGATTTTACCCACACCGTTACGCATGTTATCTTTCAAATACATTTCAATACTCCTAACTCGCAAATCAAAACCGATTCTTAAAATCTCCAATTTCTCTGCCATATCATAACTCAACAATGATTGACAGATCGTATCACCAACTACAAAATTTGCTAAATTTTCTTAGATGAGAACTTCGAATTAGATGAGAACTTAGATGAGAAATTCGAATTTACCCAATACTTTTAACCTCTATTTCTGTCCGTAAGCATACAAACTTTTAATCAGCTACACTTGTTGATTTACACACAATTTTCTGTCGTTTACAAACATTCCACGTTACTCGTTTAGTAATATTACATGATGTCCCGGAATTGACTACCATTCTCAAAATCATTCCTCCAATACTTACATTCACATACTTCTTTCTTACAGTTTCTATCACCTGTCACTTATTCCGAACGTTTTACTGTTGTCATCTGAGTCCTCTTCAACAAGTAGCTGCGAGTTTTTCGTCTTATAGCTGCGAATTCCTTTTTATATTCCTTCTTTGCGTCGTCCTTGAAGTTCATCTTTGTTTTGCAAACCACTGCAAAATATCCTTTTTTCGTATCTTCTCTTCAAAACCCGTATTTGGCATAGCATTTATACGACACAAAGGTGAGTTTTGGCGGTCTAGGCCAAGAATGAATGATGATTACCATGGAAACAAGTAAACAAGACAATGTACAAATTACTGTTAACACATTGGCAAAGAATATTTATTACTTTTCGAATACAGAATGTAGTGAACTTATTTATTGTTAACATATATATTAAAAACACAATTTCATTTATTCTGAAATATTATACCTGGATCTGTTACGTCTTTCGTGCGTTGAGCACACGTGGTAGGACAACAGAAGGACACTAGGTTTCAACAGAAGGTTTCAACAGAAGGTTTCAACAGAAATTGAAGTAGTCTCAACTCTAACTGAAGAACAATTTTCGTTTTGAAAGATCATCCTAGCAACTTTGTTTTTATACTCCACCAAATCTTCCAGGTATCCTTAAGCGACCTTCGACCTTTTCCACCCACCGTGTCTTTTAATATTTGATGCTCCAGTGACTACTAATACGGTATTGGAAATCCGCCTAAAACAATGTCCAGTGTACTGATTTGCATTAGGTAATTTTAGAAGCTAGGCAACGGTGATAGGTATTTTACCAAAACTATGAATTTTAACAAGTTGAATGAAACACGTATTATTTTTATAATATATGAAAAACTTGTGGGGTGTGTGTTCTGGTCGTATATTTTCGATAATGATGTACAGTGTTAATTATATCACATTCCGCGGTCACAGTAAACATTCTTCGAGCGCTAGATTTAGCATTTCGAAGCGTAATTATTAGAGCAGAATCTTTGTCTTCAATGTTTGTTCTCAGGTTATACTGTTCTTCCCTTCTGCATGCACCTGCGACACCAATAATCAACGAAACCTAAATGCATAATATGTGTTAATCTTAACTCTACAAGTTACAAATTACGTTTGAAAGAAATATTACATTATTTACTTTTATTAATAAACATTATTCAGACATCAGGTGCTGACACCTTACATGTGTTCATCTCTTCTTTTGTAAGAATTTTATATTTTTCAAATTCGTATTTTTTGACTTGCGCTTCAAAATTATTTAATTCTCTTATACTTCGCGATATCTATATTTTCTTTTATACATAGGATTGACTTAACCATTGAGTATTTTCTACATAATGTTGACTGTTTCACTGTCAGGCACTATTGTACAAATAGAGTTAGTTATCGTACCTAATTAAATTAGCTTTACTTATGAAAGTGTAATATATTTTCACTGATACATACCCCAGCATAGTTGTTTCATTCACCACGGTTACATGTTTCTCTCTTTTCCATTTTTAAAAAGAGTATACTCTCTTTCGTATGAATATTTAAGGAAGTAAACTCTCAGTAGCAGCTTCAGCTTCCTCAATTATAATCTCTGGAATATCGCACTCCGTACTTACGAAATAAATCACCAACACCAGCCGCAAATTCTACACGCTTTAACAATTGTGATAGTACTGACAACTTTAGAGGCGATTATGTAGAAGAACATGTATCCGACGATACCGCATGGTATGAAGAGATCTCTCTCAAAACATTGAAACCTAAAATTGGGAGATGAGTAAACGAAAAATAGTTGTATGCTACTCGGCCGAAATTAAATGATTTTGGACTCTGTAGGTTTACCAACCTCAACTCCGCCTCAATTGGAAAACAACTCATCCAAAATTATTCATTTTTCAACCTTGGTACATAAATAACTATTTTGTGGCACCGATTGCGGGACTTCGTCTCCGCAGGGCACCGATCGTCAAACCTCAACGTACGAACGTGTCCTTCTTTACCAGAACTATAACATGTTTTCCCTTTCTATTTCAACATGAACTTTGAATTTCCCCCTTTTTCTCACTTTTTCCACACTTTCACCATCCATATCCTTCAACTGTTGCATGGAAACTTCAATTGCGCCGACGATGACCACAACCTCTTTAAGAGTCGGACTCCCTTTCTCGAGCCCCCTTTCTTCACCTCTTTGTGCAAACATTTCGCGATAATTTGATTCCGGACTTCTTTCTCTTCATTGGGCCAATTGTCCATATTTGGCCTGCCGTCTCAGACTTGTGACGAACTTCGCGATACTTTCGTCTTCTGCTTGAACCATTTTCCGATAAATATGTCTCGCAAATGATGGGCTTGCTTTCTGTTTAAAGTAATCGTGCAGGGCCGTTATCGCTATTCCATACGCATACCTTCTGAAAGCCTTCGGAAACCTTCTGTCAGCGTCTGGGATTGCGAACAAAATATTTTGAAGACACATTCCGTCAAAATGCAGCAACATAGCTTTCTTCCGAGTCACTACGGAGATGGATTCTGCTACCACTCAAAGTTCTAACGCTCGAATTCATCTTTCTAAACGAGGATAAATATTCACCTCTCTTATATCAAATTTCGGTACTCCCGAGCAGTCCTCCATACGCTAGCGTATTTCAAAACTGATAAAGAAGAGACGGAAACAGAAGAGCTTCTTATGAACCTGGAAAACAAAGTGTTCTCGTTGATCCCAACATGATATTTCTCCCGCTTCCTGGAATAATTAGTTAGTGAAGGCGATGGGTAAGGCAAACCGAGGATCATTCCTGTATCTCTGTCAAACATTTCCAAAAATGAAGGAAGGAATCTTTCCAAAACCAAGAGATTTACCGGGAGAAGTAGCCCAGGGCATCAATAAATGTTATTGCAGTGCCTTTGACCAGAGATCATCCGTTCGAATGGTAGTCCGACGGTGGGACAATTGTCGATAGATAGCTAGGTCGAGTTCTGTCGCTGTATGAAGGAGAATTGCAGCAGCCGACTGCTCTTATCGGTAGTTTTCTGTGGTTCCTCCGTGCAATACCAGACGAATGCCGGAGAGGTACCATTACTGACTAGCCATGGATCACGCGCGATCTACTATGACTGACCCCATCCTTGCAGGCACAACACTAGCACACATCACACATGTCAGGATCGGTCGGTAGCTTAGTACTTGACTCGGCTAGGGCGGTGTCCGGGGTTGGAAGATACCGGGTTGGGACTAACCCCGCTAGCCGATGGTAAGTCGGTGCCGAACCTCACCACTCAGCCGGTCACCACCACCACCTACCTACATACTTACCTACCGACCGACCGACCGACCGACCGACCGGCCGACCGAGAAAAACATGTACTACACTTAAGGGAATATTGCCTTTAGCAGTTGATATGCTCAGAAGCACAAATCAATCAATCGAGAGATTCTAAAAGATTATTCACACAAAAACGATCACTCCGGAAGAACACTAGCCTTGACTAGTTTTCAGAGTGAATTTGAACATTTCCAAGTGAAAAACAAATCATCAGATTTTGTTAATGGAATCAAGAGGATTTTGAGTAGATTTCAAAAACTGGGCTGTAAAATATCACTTAAATTGTACTTTCTACACTCCCATTTAGATTTCTTCCCTGATAACTTCTACGTCGTGTATGGTGAACTCGTATTTTAGAACAAATGCCTATTTATTTACTTAAAGATGTTATGGAAAATAATTTCTGATGTTTACGAATCATGAAAAATATATCTACTGAAACCATCTAATAGTGCCTAAAATGTTCTATATGGGCGTTTGATGCCTATTTTAATATTTTGTCTGAAACGTCATAAAACAAGTAGTCAGGTCAGTGTTACGCCACAGTCAGTCGGTGTAGAGCAGTACAAGCAAGTTCCGGCATGCCTCATCGACGCTAAAGAGTGCAATATCAGCACTTAAGTCAGTTTGAACGAGGCAGAACGATCGGTCTCCGGGAAGCGAGTTTGTCGTACAGTGCCACTCCGGCTCGAACGTGGCGCGCTGCTACAACAGCGTGTGTGGAACCAGTGGATAGAGGAGCAGAATGTGGATTCGATACGAGGGTGCACCGGCGCACTATCGCCATTACGCACGCGCTCACCTCAATAAGCACTTCCCGGCAGAAGACCTCGTCTCACTAATAACCCGACTGCCGAAACTCTGCTTCGAAAAACACTAGACTTATTTCATGAATACTCTGACGTTTCTTGTATCTTTGAGTGTAGTTGATACTCTCTTCTACGAATGGGCAGTAGCATGAAAACCACTTTTAGTTAGCGCTCTGGATCTGCGGAGACAGGCCCCCGCGACAGCCCCGTTATCTGCCGCTCTCCAGGTGACGCTCGTGCGCTTTTTGCCACCGGTCGCTTCTGCTCGAGCGCTGGCGACACATCGGTCGCTCCCTTCATTTCGCACGCTGCCACCGCCGACATCCCCTGTCTGCACGAACGCGTCTTCGGATTCCTATTTAAACTCTGACATGTATAACGTAGGGAGTGAGCACTTGATTTTGTATATTGCACTCGGAAAATAAATTACATTTTCCCCTCTGCGATTTCCCTGAAACTCCTCTAGAATGTGAAGAAGTATTACTATATCGAATTATGCAATATAATTGCATCATTCATTATTTTAGTTCTCCCATTCAAAGACTACAAATCAGTGGCGTGCATTCCAGCGAAGCTAGAAGCGTGGTGTTTACCCCCCGCCCCCAAAAAAATCCCGCCTAATACACCGATGAGCATAAAAACCGGTACAACAATGCGTATTGTAATAAGAGATCTGGAACCAATCAAAATACGGCGCTCCGGCCGGCAACGACAATTTAAGACAACCGGAGTATAACCCAGTTTTTAAATCGGTTACTGTTGCTATAATGGTAAGTTATCATGATTTTAGAGAGTTTGAATGTGCTGTTATAATGCGCGCAAGACAGATGGGGCATAGTATCTCCCAGGTAGCGATAATAGCGATTTTCCGTACGACCATTTTAAGAGTGTACCAAGAATATCAGGAATCGGGTAAACAATGAAACCTCCGGCATCGCTGCGGCTGCAGAAAGATCGTGTAAGAGCGGGGCCGATGACTACTGAGGGGAATCATTACACGTGACAGAAGGGCAATCCTTCCTCAAATTGTTGCAGATTTCAATGCTGGGCCATCAGTAAGTGTGAGCAAGCGAACTATTCAACGGGGGTTACGGAGCGGAAAGCCACTCGAGCCCTTGATGACTGCACGGCACAAAGCTTTACGCCTCGCCTGGGCCCGTCAGCACCGATATTGGACTATTGATGACTGGAAACACGTCGACTGGTCTGACGAGTCTCGTTTCACATTGTTTCGAACAGATCGACGTGTACGAGTATGGCGACAACCTTAAGAATCCATAGACCCTGCATGCCATCAGGGAATTTTGTAGCGGGTGGAGGCTCTGTGATGGTATGGGGCGTGTGCAGATGGGCGGATATGGAACCCTTGATATGTCTAGATACGACTCTGACAGGTGACACGTACGTAAGCATCTTGTCTTATCACCTGCACCCATTCATATCCATTGGGAATCCCGACGGACTTGGGCAATTCCAGCAAGATAATGCAACAGCCCAAACGTTCAGAAATCCGACATAGGAGCTCCAGGAACACTTATGAATTTAAACATTTCCACTGGCCAGAATCACCAGACATGAACATTATTGAGAGTACTCTCTGGGATGTCTTGCAACGTACAGTTCAGAAGAGATCCCCCCCCCCGTAGTTTGAAGAGTTTATGGACAACTCTGCAGGATTCAAGGTGTCAATTATCGTTATCACTACTTCAGACATTAGTGGAGTCCATGCCACATCGTGTTGCTACACTTGTACGTGCTCGCGGGGTCTTACACGATATTAGGCAAGTGGACCAGTTTCTCTGCCTCTTCAGTGTGAAACGAATTTGGTGGAATCACGAACCCCTGAAATGGAGCGAACTCATCCTGTTTTTTAAATTATCTCGCAGTGGCGCGTGGCCCTTCATTGAGCATAGAACGCAGACGTTGAGAGACAAAGGAACTGATGGAGCGGAGGTATTGTCATCGGAGGTAAACAACTTGTGACAGATCAGCTGTGGCGTGGTAATCCAATGGAGAGCTTCGATACCTAAAATTAATGTCGTAAGGAAGCTTCCAATTGGACGACCGCTTCAGTTGGCGATATGACACAAATACCTATATTTAAATGGGACGTATACGTGGCAGAACGGCCCGAAGTGAACATGATGTTCTCCATCTCTAAATACATTACGCAGTTGACGCATGTGTTCATGACTTTTTCGTTCTATGCAGTACACTGGTTAGTGCAGAAACCAGGAGGGAATTTAACTCTGATGGAGGGGTATCGTATGGAAGCCGAGAACATTTTAAGGCATTTTCGGTCATTGGTTCCCAATCTTATTGGTCAGGTCAATGCCATCTACACACATTATAGACACAAAGTATAGACGGAGTTGTTCAAGTACTTGTTTGCGCGTCGTTATTAGACGAAAAGCCTAGATAAGTTTCTTCATGAATTGCGTGTTGTCACTGCATTTCTTTCGTATGTCTCTAACACCGGAGTTGGATCTCCTTTCTAGTCTTCATGATAGCAATTCAGGTTCACCACCGAGGGTGGCTCTCAACTGAGTTTGACGATGTGTTCGCCACTCGCCGTCTGCTTTGTTTAGTGTTAACGTACCACCACGAATTTTCAAGTGGATTTTTTTCTTGTGTGTGTGTTATTTGTACTACATGTGCTGTCTTTTGAGGACAGCGGTAAGATATTTGTTATGGCAGCCAATTCACGTAAACTTGAGGATGTCTTGAAAAGCTCGTCCAGTTGTACTTTTCTGAAGACACGTTCTTTCTAGCTTAGACTGTTTTCTAACAAAAAGGGAAGGGAACACTCCCGCTATTTTATTAGTTCAATGGAGCACGCAAAGTGGGGAAGGGCTCGCACATGAGTAGGGGCGCCCAGAATGGGGCCGACAACTGGGGCAACTTCTCCCAAGCTTCGACTTCACTGGGTTCGCGATTTTTTTTAAATCTAAAAGAAATAGAAAATGTATTTACTTCACTTTCAAATTAAATTCTTTAAGTTATTTCTGTTGCATAGAGAAATGTGAAATATATCAAAATCACGAAGATTGAATTACCACCAAGAAGAGTTT